GCAGTACTTATTTATATAGTTTATATAAGCGTTCAGGTTCATTCAAATCACATCGACTTGATTTTATATTCCAAAACACTGGTATTAGATAGACAGGACCTCAGTGAAGCTAAGCAATTAGAACTGAAGCAGTTACAATGAAAATGACTCTTTCCAACTGGCTAGAAAATCATGTTCTAAGGCTACAGAATAAAGATATTATTCCAGCATATTACTGATGGATATCTGAGCTTTCCAGCAGCACAATAAAGAAATAGAAATGTACTCATTGGAATGATGATAGATGAAATAAAGGCAAAGAAAAGTGACCCTCTGCATCTGTCCAGAAAAGCTCAGCCAAGTAAAAAGTGCAATAAATCTTTTACAGATTTATGTCCCTTCCCAGAGTTTCATCTCCAAGTTATTCACATTCACTACACACTTCTTGTATCATAATAGAAAAATGAGATGTCACAAATGCTGGCTTTTCATATTACTAGCAAAAGAGGCAGAAAGTTGTAAACTTGGACTTTCTCCTTCCACCTGTCTTTGAGCAGAAAGAGGGAATTTGGCCTAAATGTTTTGAGGACTCATCCAAAGCCCACTGCAGTCAGTGGAAGTCTTTCCATCCAGTCTTTGGTCCAGACTGAAGTTTTTTGGTGAAATTACCACTCAGTGCTTTGATTTTTGCAGGATCTATCTGAAAATCTTCTTTGTTGTTGATCCACTAAACTTCACCTTGTCATATGAAATCACATATACTTTGCATGAGTTCATTATAAAAAAGAAACGGTCTCAAGTGCATTCAAAACCAGTTCCAGCTTACTTCAAAAAGTTTGTGAGCCTTGTGAGGAAATTGCTCTGAGTTTGTAACCCTGAAATCAGGTGAGTTTTACTTAGTTTAGGGTGTGTCTGTGAATATTTGGCATAGCTCTACTTCATCTGAAAACTTGGTTTTCAGGGATTTCACAATGGAAAATCTTACACAACATTAATTGCATTTATACCAGTGCAAATCGACCCTATTTCTCTGCATTTAGGATTTTAAACGGGAAAGCACACAAAGCTGTTCTAATACCACTGGGCTCTAATTCTATCTTCACTCAGCTTTATTAAAGAAAAGAGTTGCACATACACAAAAATTTTTAAATGTTCATTTCTGCTACACTGTGATTTTAATAATGAGTAAAAATGTTTTTCATGGTATGTTCCGATGAAGCCAACAAAGACAAACTATCAGTTCCTGTCGTTTTTAAAAAGAGCATAAAAGGAAAGACCAGATTAGGGTCTTGCTGCCTTTGAATCAATTAGGTGATGTGCCACAGAACTTAATGGAAGCAGGATTGGGTCCTAAAGTAAGGAAATCTCTTTGCTTTTGTTTTTCATGATCATCAATCAAATTAAGAAACTGGAGGCTATCTTTGGGACAAATCAGACTGAAATTTTAATTCAATGCAGGGACTGCCCCCTATTTCTTAGGACAGTTAACAGGTACTGAAAATGCTCAAAGATATGCTGATTTGAGGAATCTCTATTTTCTTAGGTTTCAGAGCGGTGTTATCGTTTCGCAAAAAGTCTGTGGCCCTTAGAGCTAACCAATTTATTTGAGCTGAGTTTCGTGAGCTACAGCTCACTTCATCAGATGTTTACCGTGGAAACTGCAGCAGACTTTATATACACACAGAGAATATGAAACAATACCTCCTCCCACCCCACTGTCCTGCTGGTAATAGCTTATCTAAAGTGGTCAACAGGTGGGCCATTTCCAGCACAAATCCAGGTTTTCTCACCCTCCACCCCCCACACAAATTCACTCTCCTGCTGGTGCTAGCCCATCCAAAGTGACAACTCTTTACATAATCAAGTCGGGCTATTTCAAGGTTTTCTCACATCCCCCCACCCCCATCACACACAAACTCCTCCCGCGGTAGGTTTCAGAGGAACGCCGTGTTAGTCGTATTCGCAAAAGAAAGGTCTGTGGCCCTTAGAGCTAACCAATTTATTTGAGCATGGCTCGTGCTGGTAATAGCCATCTAAACGACCACTCTCCAAGTTTAAATCCAAGTTAAACCAGAACATCGGGGGGGGGGGGTAGGAAAAAACAAGAAGAAACAGGCTACCTTGCATAATGACTTAGCCACTCCCAGTCTCTATTTAAGCCTAAATTAATAGTATCCAATTTGCAAATGAATTCCAATTCAGCAGTTTCTCGCTGGAGTCTGGATTTGAAGTTTTGTTTTAAGATAGCGACTTCGTCTGTGTTGCGTGACCAGAGAGTTGAAGTGTTCTCCGACTGGTTTATGAATGTTATGTTCTTGACATCTGATTTGTGTCCATTTATTCTTTTACGTAGAGCGTCCAGTTTGACCAAGTACAGGCAGAGGGGCATGCTGGCACATGATGGCATATATCACATTGGTGGATGTGCAGGTGAACGAGCTCTGATAGTGTGGCTGATGTTTTAGGCCCTGTGTGGTGTCCCCTGAATAGTATGTGGGCCAATTGGCAACGGGCTTTGTTGCAAGGTAAGTTCCTGGGTTAGTGGTTCTGTTGTGTGGTATGTGGTTGCTGGTGAGTTTTGCTTCAGGTTGCGGGGCGTCTGTAGGCAAGGACGGCCTGTCTCCCAAGACTTGTGAGAGTGTTGGGTCTCCTTTAGGATAGGTTGTAGATCCTTAATATGGTTGGAGGGGTTTTAGTTGGGGGCTGAAGGTGCCGCTAGTGGCGTTCTGTTATTTTCTTTGTTAGGCCTGTCCTGTAGTAGGTACTTCTGGGAACTCTTCTGGCTCTATCAATCTGTTTCTTTACTTCTGCAGGTGGGTTTGTGTTGTAAGAAAGCTTGACAGAGTCTTGTAGGTGTTTGTTCTGTCTGAGGGGTTGGAGCAAGCGGTTGTATCGCAGAGCTGGCTGTAGCGTGGATCGGTGGTGTGGTCAGGGTGAAAGCTGGAGGCGCAGGTAGGAAAGCGGTCAGTAGGTTTCCGGATAGGGTGGTGTTTATGTGGCCATTGTTTATTAGCACTGTAGTGTCCAGGAAGTGGATCTCTTGTGTGGACTGGACCAGGCTGAGGTTGGTGGTGGGATGGAAATTGTTGAAATCGTGGTGGATTCCTCAAGGGCTTCTTTTCCATGGGTCCAGTGATGAAGATGTCATCAATATAGCGCAAGTAGAGTAGGGGCTTTAGGGGACGAGAGCTGAGGAAGCTTGTTCTAAATCAGCCATAAAAAGTTGGCAACGTGGCCAGGGGTACCCATAGCAGGCCGCTGATCTGAAGGTTACATTGTCCCCAAATGTGAAAAGTTATGGGTAAGGACAAAGTCACAAAGTTCAGCCACCAGGTTAGCCGTGACATTATCGGGGATAGTGTTCTTGACGGCTTGTAGTCCATCTTTGTGTGGAAGTTGGTGTAGAGCTTCACACCAAGTAGCCAGGATGGTGTTATCAGGAAGATCACCGATGGATTGAAGTTTCCTCAGGAAGTCAGTGGTGTCTCGAAGGTAGCTGGGAGTGCTGGTAGCGTAGGGCCTGAGGAGGGAGTCTACATAGCCAGACAATCCTGCTGTCAGGGTGCCAATGCCTGAGATGATGGGGCGCCCAGGATTTCCAGGTTTATGGATCTTGGGTAGTAGATAGAATATCCCAGGTCGGGGTTCCAGGGGTGTGTCTGTGCGGATTTGATCTTGTGCTTTTTCAGGAAGTTTCTTGAGCAAATGCTGTAGTTGCTTTTGGTAACCTCAGTGGGATCATAGGGTATGGCTTGTAGAAACTCGTGTTGAGAGCTGCGAGCAGCCTCTTGTTCATATTCCGACCTATTCATGATGACAACAGCACCTCCTTTGTCAGCCTTTTGATTATGTGTCAGAGTTGTTTCGAGGCTGTGGATGGCAGCTCCGCAGGCTGAGGTTATGGGGCAAGTGACTGCTTTTCCACAATTCGCCCGCACGTCGCGGAAGCACCATGTAGGAGTCCAGTGCTGTTTCGACCTTCAGGAGAGTCCATCTAGAATCCCTCTTTCTGTAGTGTTGGCAGGAGACCTCTGTGGATTAGTATGTTGTTCAGAGGTATTTTGGAAATATTCCGTATTTTGGAAATATTCCTTGAGACGGAGACGCGAAAATAGGATTCTAGGTCACCACAGAACTGTATCATGTTGTGGGGGTGGAGGGGCGAAGGGGCCGAGATAGAACAGCGTTCTGCTGGGCTGAGAGTATAGTTGGATAGGTTAACAATATTGCTAGGTGGGGTGAGGGAACCATTGCTGTGGCCCCTTGTAGCATGTAGTAGTTTAGAAAGTTTAGTGTCTTTTTTCTTTTGTAGAGTACCAAAGTGTGCGTTGTAAATGGCTTGTCTAGTTTTAGTAAAATCCAGCCACGAGGAAGTTTGTGTGGAAGGTTGGTTCTTTATGAGAGTATCCATTTTTGAGAGCTCATTCTTAATCTTTCCCTGTTTGCTGTAGAGGATACTATTAATACTATTAATTAGTAGAGGATACTATTAATTTAGGCTTAAATAGAGACTGGGAGTGGCTAAGTCATTATGCAAGGTAGCCTGTTTCTTCTTGTTTTTTCCTACCCCCCCCCCCCCAGATGTTCTGGTTTAACTTGGATTTAAACTTGGAGAGTGGTCAGTTTAGATGAGCTATTACCAGCAGGAGAGTGAGTTTGTGTGTGTATGGGGGTGGGGGGGATGTGAGAAAACCTTGATCTATGCAGGAAATAGCCCGACTTGATTATGTAAAGAGTTGTCACTTTGGATGGGCTAGCACCAGCAGGAGAGTGAATTTGTGTGGGGGGTGGAGGGTGAGAAAACCTGGATTTGTGCTGGAAATGGCCCACCTGTTGATCACTTTAGATAAGCTATTACCAGCAGGACAGTGGGGTGGGAGGAGGTATTGTTTCATATTCTCTGTGTGTATATAAAGTCTGCTGCAGTTTCCACGGTAAACATCTGATGAAGTGAGCTGTAGCTCACGAAAGCTCATGCTCAAATAAATTGGTTAGTCTCTAAGGTGCCACAAGTACTCCTTTTCTATTTTCTTAGCAGACTGTCTCTAAACAATGCCATTCTGTCAGCCTAGAAACAAGAAAGAAGCAGGTGGTTCTACTAAGAGGGAAGAAGAATAAACAAGAGTTTGAATGGAATAATAAATCTCCAAAAAATCCCCACTTATATCCTGCACACTGATTTCCAAATTGGTACGGATATTTCATATCTGTTTCAAGGATTAAGACAGCAGACTGAGGTTTCATGCTTCAGTGTTGGATGCTCCTTACTTTGATTGCCAGAAGGGTTTTTGCATCGAATTCAGATGTTTTCAACTGTTAGGTAAAGCTGTGTTGTATTATTCATCATCTCAATCACTAAATGTATTTGCAGGACAGCTACCTCACATGGAGGACAAACTCGGAATAATTGCTCAAGTAACAAATCTATATGTAAAGAGACAGTTCTCAGTGAACAAGTTTTGCAATGCACATGAGTTTGCAATCTTAACTACAACACTGGTTTCCAACAGCATTATGATAATACAGTGTTGTGTATATACATCACTTAATCTTTTAAAAATTCTCTTCTTCATCTAATGGAAGTAAGTCTTGCCTATCAGCTTGGTGACTAAAACTAATTAAGCATGAAAACTAAATAGCTTTTGATGGATGCAGTTCTCTTTACAGTTAGCTTTAGCAGCCAGCTATCATGTTGGCTTACAGATATTCCTGCCTTATTACATAGAAGTTATGTACAAGTGCTTTGTCCTGTTTTGTATAGTAACTGTCAGGAAACTGACCACTTCAAAGATCCAAGTCCAGGCTGAGCTGCTAAAAATTGGCAGCAGGTTAAATGAGCACTTATGCACTTCCAGGGCCATCCTGAGGTCTCTTGTACAATAAAGGTACCACCTTGACCCTCCATGAACTTCCGAGTGAGGACTGCCCTTTTCACCCTCAGTCAGATCCTTGTGAAGTCTGAGTCTAGACACAACTCTAAGTGCACAGATAGCTCAGCTGCGCTGCCTCCATTGCAGACAACTATTGACCCAGAATGAAGACTGGGATCCACACTTCTGCTCACCTCACCTGTCTGAGGTGAGTACCAGATTGTGGTAGGATACTGAGGGTGGGAAAGAACAGAAAGGTTGGAAGCCAAAGACAGCAAAGTGTGGCACAAAGAGTGGGAGGAGAAGCTAAGTGGGTGACAGCTAGGGAAGAAAGAGGAGGAGAGGGGAGCAAAGGGAAAAAAAAGGTAAAAGAAAAAAAACCCCTAAAGCACAGAAAATGCAAGAGAAAGGAATGAGAATTATTTTCCTTCCCTTCTATTTACTTTATGCACATCTTTCTGACCCCACACTGAAACCATACCCTACAACTCCCCCTCTCCCAAGGCAAATGTCCCTGTTTTTCACCTTGAAAATCTGATTACCTTTTACACTTTTTATTTTTAAACATAAACACTCTCTCACGCTATTACACTATGGTAAACGCTTTCACCAATTCAAACAGCTCAAATATTCAGCGGGTCCTTTTTGATGTTTGCGTATGAATTCATCTAGCAGACATTTGTACTTGGGGCTTTTTGACAGTACATGTTCTATTGATATCACAAATCCTGACAACATTCTCTGAAGAACTCAAGAACTTCTTGATCCGTGGTGTTTTTTGCTATATTCTGCAATGGGCACAGTTAAAAAAACCAACCCAAACCATTTACTACCACACAAACCCACAGATATTTCTTCAGCCTATTCTTTTCAATTAAATTAAGATTTTTCTAGCGGTGATGAAAGTGTGGTTTGTTACTCATAGGAACTGCCATACAGGATTGGACCTGAGAGTGTTCTGACTCCGACAGTGTTCAGCACCAGGAGCTTCGGAGGAAGGTGTAAAAACCCTGCAGGAGACAGATGTGGGATAATTTGTCCCCCCATTAGGTCCTGATCTCTAATAGAGATTAATTAAAGCCCTGAATCATCAGATTTAATATTCCTTCAAAAATCTGTCACAATTCATTATGATAATCCTCGCTATTGTTATCTGTATAAACATCCACTGCCATTTTGAATTTGCTAAATTCTTGGCCTCAACAGCATTCCATGGCACTAAGTTCCACAGTCCAGTTATGTCTTGTGTGAAAAAGTATTACTTTATCAGTTTTCCATTTGCCATCTTTTAATTTCATTGAATGTCTCCTTGTTCTTGTATTTCTAAAAAAAGAGAATGGAACAGAACAGAAGCTTCTACCATCTCTATACCAGTTTATATAATATTACAAGGTAGAAGCTTCTGTTTTCTTTTTTAAAATATATATATACACACACACTTTTGATCATGTTCCCTCTTATTCATCTTCTTTTTTAAGATAAACAATCCTAATCTTTTCATTCTCTCTTCATATGAGAGCTTTTCCAGGCCCTTAATGATTCTTATTGCCTTCTCTGAATGAACCACCTCTAATTTTACATCATCTTTTCTGAGATGGTGACCATGCCTCCCAACTGCAAAGGATTTATGATCAGCATGATCATACCATAATGCACAGAGACTGCTTGAAGACTTTTTTTGGGGTTGGGGGAACGGTCGTTAACAAGCTGGCTCTTCATAACTCTGCTCCTCTTGTCTCTTTATCATTTTATCCTTTCCTCCTGACCAATGCTGCCAGCCTTGACTCCTTGTTGCTCTTATCTTTGTGCTTTCTTCCTCAATGTCTGTCTGCAGGGAACCTCCTCCCTGCATGATCCATAAGGATTCTTTTCCATCTTCCAAGTCCACCTCCAGATACACTGCTACCTTGATGCCTACAAGAAAATATGAAATTAATAGTTCTAGGTAAATGATATTTAAAGAAAATAAATCGACTGACTATTTTTATCCCTCTCCTCCATCCTTCATTAGATTCCTCTCTCCTCTGATTGTGAATTCTTATTATGTGTTTAGACAGAGCCTAGCTGATTGTCAGGGCTTCCACACCACAGTCAATGCATAATTCTTCTAATAATTAATTTAAGATGTGTATGCTCCCGGTCTCTTACTGCCAAAGAAGTAACGCCCAGCTTTTTGTGCTGGGGTCAGTACATACTTGCCTGTATTTAGAAGAGCTTTCCAAAGGACAATTGCCCAAATAAACTGAGGTTCTGGGATGGTTGCTACATCCCCAGCCACTGGAGAATTGTTGGCATTCTGTTGAGATTTAAGGCTTGTATAATACCTTACAAACTAACTATTGTTGTTACTCCTCTGGAAAGAAGGTGGTGGCATCAGATGTGGAAACTGCGGCACAGAGAGGTGAAAGCCAAATTTGCACACTTGTGTGTATAAAGTTAGGCACCTAAATCCATATATAGGCATCCAACTCTAAGAGGCTTGATTTTATTTTTAAGTGACGCTGAGCACCTGCAACTCCTCTTGAAGTAAACTAGAGTCATGGGTCCTTTGCATCTCTGGACTTACGTGTGCAAAGTTTGGAAATCTTGCTCTGGGGGACTTGATATAGACTGAAAAAGGAGTCTGTGTCAGCCTAGGGTTCCACTTCTTTTACAGCAAGATGTTAGCGCATATGGAACCTAAAGATCACCTGCTCCCACCATTCACCTGAAATGAATTATCAATAATACTGTTGCTTGTGTTCCATTAGCACCCACAGGATATATCTCCAGTGCAAGTGAAGGTGTGATTGTAGCTAGCACAGGAAACAATGGCAGTGCAGATGTGGAGGCAGAGGCTTCAGCAAGGGCTAACAACCACAATCAAGCCCTCAATGAGCCTGGATCCATACTCTGGTTACTAGTCTATGACACCCTGTCTACACTGCTATTATTGTGTAATAAATGGAAACAGAACAGGTTACATATATAAAATGCTATCCTAGGTCTACACTTATCAATGTTTAATAAAGTAGATTTTCTCCCAAGGATTCAGTCTTTGATGGAGATGCTGGTTTTTGGTCAACATCAGGATCAAAGAGTCATGAATATCTCACACCATTCAAGGGGTTTCCTCAGTGAAGGGATGTTCTTTTTTGCCTTCTACTTCTGTCTCCAGAGTTCATTGTCTTTACCCCCATCCAGGATCAGTGTTTGGTATTTTCCTACCCCCTGTTTACTGCATATGCAGATTTGGCTTACAATGAGTAATTTACATCTGCCTTAACACAGACTTTTTAGGAACATACTTCCAGTACACGTACATTACTCTTTACATGGTAGCAATAAATACATTTGCAAGGATTAGGAGAATCTGTATGACACAGGCTTTTATTAGATACCTTGCATGATATTCTTTATAGATACATCCTAGGAAAGCAATGTGTTAGCTGTAGTGAGCTTGTCAGGCTGACCTAGAACAGTGAACCTTTTGCCAGCTGCATCAATGGGTCTCTGTGTCACAGCACTCCCTTACCTGTGTAACTTGTCAAGAGTCAAGGGGCACCTAGATTCCCAGGCTCACAAAGAAGTGGCTGTGAAAGGACTTGTGATCCGTAGGAAAAATAAGTGACAAGCTTTGAGTCCTAGCGACTGGTTTGCACTGGCTACCTTTTCGGTGAGATCTCTGCAAAGAAAAGGGCTAGATGCATTTAAAAAGGTGCGATTCTCCTTGGCCTTTCTCTTTTTCTCCAACTTCAGGGAAGCCATGGCTATGGGTTTTTGCAGGCCCCCAAAGGCCGCCGGAGAGAGCAAGAGGTAAAGCCTGGCAACATCAAAGCCGTGGCTACTGCTAATGCGGCATCTACCAGAGCAAGATTAGACGGCACCTGTCGGCCAGCTTCAGTCCCTGCACGCAACCCTCTGGCCGCAAATCCCGTGGGGGGTACATGGCACCCCTCTCCGAAAACACCCAGCCCCCTCCGCTCTGTCAGTCTCCCCGGCTAAGCTCTTTCGAGCCCCCCGCGCGGTACCTCCATTCCCTCTGCTCCCCAACTTTCCTCCATCGTCCCCGGGCCTCAGCCTCCCCGCTGGGCGCAGGGCCGCGGCCCCCCGCCCCGCTTGCCCCTGTGCAGCAGCCTCTGCCCCTGCGGGCAGCAGCCCGCCCATGCCCACAGCAGCGGCCCGCGGTGACGGGGCGCGGGGCTGGGCGTGTATCATCGCGGGCCGCGGGTTCGGGCCGCGGGGATTGGTCGGCGGCGGCGGCGGCCGAGCTGGGCTGCTCGTGCACTGACCCAGCGCGCGGCTCCTCCTCCTCCTCCTCCTCCGTGCAGCGGCGGCGCTGAGTCCGGGGCTGCGGCGGCGGGCAGAGGGGAGCGGGCGGGGTTACAGCGAGGGCAGGCGGGCTCGCTCCGCGGCGCTGCCCCCCTCCCCCACGCCGGGCTGAGGCGGCGAGGGCTCCCGCTCCCGCTCCCGTTCCAGCCCCCTGCGGCCGCCGCTGCCAGCCGGGGACAGGCGAGAGAAGAGCGGGGCAGAGCCGCCGGTTGCTGGCTCTATGCTGCCCGCCCCGGCGCCAGGAGCCCGCCCCGGGGGGATGCTGGTGCTGGGATTGCGGCTGGGATAACCCCCGCCGCCTGCTGCCGCTGCCCGGTCCGGACGGAGGATGCTGCCCGGGTCGCGGGGGACTCTGACCAGGGGACCAGCCGCGGCGTCCTCTCCTCCGGCTCCGAGCGCTCGTGCTGCCCCTGGGGCAGCCGCCTCCGCCGGGGCGCGATGACTTCAAAGCACCAGGCGGACTGGATCCCGTACAGGTAGGGAAGGCGCCTCCCTCCCCCCAGCCTGGTCCTGGTGCCCGGCAGGGAGCAAGGGCAGCCCGGGCACGACGGAGTGTGGGGTGGGCGGCTCGCTCTCAGCGCCTGCAAAGTTTTCCGGGGGGAGGGGGGCTCCCCTTGCTGGGCGGGGAGAGTGGCTCATCCCCCAGTTGTTTTGGTTTTGCTCCAGTTTCGGGGCTGAGCGCGCCCCTCTGCGCGGAGAAGGGCTTCCAGGGCGGAGCGGGTGGTGGTCCTGAGCAGTGTTGTTTCTCGGGAGGCCAAGGAGCCCGTTTTTGGTCTGTTGGGGGAGTCCAATGGGCACCTCGCCTTTGCTATCCTGGTTTTCATGACTGGACCCTGAAGTCGGCGGGATCTCTACTTTTTTTTTTTTTTTGAACACGCCAGAGAAATGTGGGGCACCTCCGGTTTTCTGTAGGAAGCCTGGATACTTTCCTGCTTTTGTCTCCCAGGTAAAAGTGGGGGCGCCATCACCAAGTTATTGCCTTTTTTTCTCCCTGCCCCCCAGAGTCCTCTCAGATACAAATGGGCTCTAGGATATCACTGGTGTGAAAGTGAGCTGCGATGGGCCACCTGAGCAAGAGTCCAAATTTGGGGCCCAATCCTGCTCCCACTAAAGTTAATGGTAGCTTTACCTCTGACTTCTATAGGAGCATGTTTAGGCCTATTGCCTGTGATCAATGAACCGCTCTGGCTGCTATAGTATATTCTTCGCAGTTGTGAAACCTACTTTTACTTTGTAGCTGAAAAGCTTTGTAACCGTTACACACGTGCAGTGTTCAGAAGCACTAAGGCTGTTTAGCAGCAGCAAAAGTAGCGGATAAGCTTTTGGGGGTATTTTGATGTTAATCCAAAAGCAGTTCCAAGGATCATTCCTGTTCTATTTTGTGGAATGAATTGCACCACGAGTCCGGTGCTGCACTTGGGACTTATGTCTATTTGTAGTTTCTTGCTGGATGAGGTGACTCTATTGAATAAAAGGGACAGTCACTGGGGAAAGGAAAGGAGTTTGGAGGGTGTTGCTCAGACAGATTAGGCACCTGGCTGAGCATCTGTAGACTGAATCCGCAGCTGGTTTGGTTTGTATTGTAGGCATTGGTGGGTAACTTCTTTGTGGAAGAACAAAGTAACCTTTTGTATGTGATGCCTCAAATACTTCCTTTCCTCTTGCCCACTCTCCCACTCTGACACAGTATAGACACATTATGGGCCATATAGAAGCCTGGCAGTCAGTATTAGCTGCCCTCCCTGCTGCAGCTGCCATGGAGAAGAGCTGTGATTGCCATGGCAGCGCCAGCTATTGCTCTCTGTCATTGGTTCCTTGGTTGCCATAAGCTACCAAAGTCTCTGTCTGCTGGCTCTCCTTCTTGAGAGGTGTGTGCGTCAAAAGTGTGGTGGGCAGCACCTGTCACTCTAGAATGGATCCCCTTATCCCTGTTTGGGTGGGGAGGAGGAAGGGCTATAAAACAGTATGCAGATTGCAATCAGGGTTTGTTGGACAGCTGCACGTTAGGGGCTCTGATCCTTGTTTGTGTCTAGACTGGCACTGTGGCTGAAGTTATTAAGAGTTTGGGTGCACAAGGAATACAGTATAAAGGTTTCAGAGGATTGGTGTAGACAAGTGTGAGCTTAGGGGGGCTTCAGTCCCCCTTCCCCCATGGTAATTGCTTTAATAAATAAAGGAAACTGTGGGAGAGAAGTTAATTTATCTCACTTTATTAAAAGTGGTTATGTTATGGTACAAAACTACTAATGCAAGTGCTATTTAGCTGCTTTATTATTTTTAGCTTTACTCACTTAAAAAAAAAATTGCTTCTGCCCTGGCAGTGGCTGTATTACAGATAGCTGATGTTGCATCTACAGGTTTATATCATTTCCCTTATGTTTTTACCATGTTTGGCTTTTGAATATTTTATTTGGTTTTATATTATCTGTTTCATGAGGTTTCCAGTTGCTTGTGCAGTGCTCTGAACACCTTCTATTATTACTTATTTTTAAGAATTCGCATATCAGATTTCATTTTAAAATGTTCTGTGTTTTAAATTGAAGGATTGCAAAGAGAAAGTGTCTGAGTTTTATTTAATGGCTTCATTTGATAAAATCACATTTCAGGGGTTTAGCTACTGTACAATGAGTAGTTATTAGGGTTATAGATGGAGACATTTTAGTTTGAATAGGTATATTCAGAACTTTAGTAACACAACAAAACTGTCTTATCCATGTTCCACCAGATTCTGTGTAAATCAAACAATTTTTTATATGCAAATAAAGTACTCAACAATTTTAGGAGGAAATCATAATTTTTTAAGAAGTTCGTTACGGAACACATTTTAAAAACTAGTACAACTGTTTGAAAAGTATTGTAGGGAAACTGTGCTTTGCCCCAATATATATTAACCTTTTTATATGAATTACAGCTATCCTAGTGGCTAGATACCATAGTGACAGATGCACTATAAATACAGAAAATGAGTAAATCAGTCCCTAGCATGGAGTAAAAATAAGGTGGTTAATGATGCAAATGAAAACTGTAATGTTTTTTTTTTGGGGAGATTCATGTAGATTATAGTCCTAATGAACACAAGTATTTCAGAGATTCAAGAGTTTTAAAATGATTACAAAGAATGTAAGAATGCTGTCATTGACTCCTGGACTGTGCCTTCAGGGTGTGTATCAGAGCAGAGACAGAGCACAAAAGAAAATGGAATACTGCTCCAGAAGGCACGAGCTAAGCCTATTATGTCATTTGGAGCCATGTAGTAAAGAACAGTGTTCAACCAAATCAGTTGTTCCATGACTCTTCCCTGTTGCAGCCTGGCTGTTCCCCTTTTCTCACACAGTAGACGGGCCATGCTAAAACTTTGCAGAGGAGCTGATGGTGTCTATAGAGAGGGAAACAAAGAATGACGTGTTGCTACATTTTCCTTCCACACTGCTGTTTTGGTCTCCTCTGTACTGTACAATTCATAGAAACATACTACCCTTGGCAGTGGTTCTTCATATTTGCCTCTTGTGGATATTTATCGCAATCTGTCTAGTTTTATTTTCAATACATGTTTTCTTTACTATTACAACTAGCAACTGCTAAAAAAAAAATCAAATTCCTTCTGCTGTGAAGTAAGTGTTTTTGTTTAGATTTATGGTAATGCTATTAATTCTGCCCTATGGAACTTGAGCTTTTTATTTTTCATTTGAGAAAGGGCTGGACTCTGAGTGGTGGTAAGCACTGATAAATCCTATTAAACTCTGTTGTGTTCAGCATCCCAGAAGATCCAGCCCAAAATATGTTTATCCAGAAAACTTGAATCTCTAAAGTGTGTTTTATTTCAGTAACTGAATTACATATGAAAAGGTGTTAGTAAATTAGGGCAAAACTTGCTCTTTTCAGAGATTTGCACATGCACAATAAGAGAAAACCCTAAAAATTGTGCACATCTTAGACTATGTTCAGTTCTGTCTGAGGGAAAGACTTACACTGGCTGTTCTGACTTCTTACCTCCTATTTTCTCTTGTATGATCTGATTTCAGTGGTGGTTAGCTTTTAAAGCTGAAAGATCTGTTGCATACCTACGGTTGGTTGTCATTATCACACCCCTTCAATACAATGAGGAAAGAGCTTGGGGGAAAAGCACAGGACTGTTGGCATGCTGCAGTCCATAAAGACTTGTGTAACATCTCCTGAACTTCATTGACCTACATGCAGCATGGTCCAAAAGCTGTAAGACCACTGCAGAATGAGAAAATAAATTGTAACTTTATTGTAGGCTCTAAACAATTATATAAATTGTTCGCTTATATTGCTCATCCTTGCAATTTGACTATGTCAGTATGTAGATGCATATCTGAATTTATTCAAGCTTAAGAGTCACTTCTTTATAAAATGTCAGACTGCTCATCTGAGTATAATGGATACACTTTTCCTTTAAAATGGAAGGAGCCAGGAAGACTACTAAGCAATCCATGAGTGTCCGAAGCTCATAATAGATTTTAGTACAATTGAGATATTGAATTTTTTTTGAGAAGATTAACTAAAAATATGAGAGAATCCCTCCAGGATCAATGCTAGTTTTTGCTCCCCCGTAATGGATGTAAATGTGTATTATTTGTTGGGTGTGTAAGCAGCGTCAGGATGAGCTCTACCCTGACATCTGGTGGTGAGTCATTGTGGGTTATGGAAAAGAACTTCAGGGGCTGATCTCATTTGCATAGGCACACCCACCCCACCTAGATGGTCACTTTGGCTGCTGTAGGAGCCCCAGTTTCTCTGTTATTGGGGCAGGAAGAATAAACTGTTATTATCCTGATTATGTGAATCAAGGACAGTGGAACTGTACTTGGTCTTTTGTTATGATGGAGGGACTCGCCATCAACTAAGCAGCACTCGCTAGGCAAGGGTCATGGGTTCCAAAACCCAGTGAATTGAGAGAGGTTGGGGACAGGTATTAATACCTAGTGGTATGAGCCCCCTGATGAGGGCCTTACATACCAATGGCACCTTCTTTTCTCTCCATGGTGGAATATTAGAGCTAGTTTTGATTCCACTACAAGTCTAGTTACAGGCTACTGAGCTGAATTCACTTTGGGCCAATGGTGTACCAGCACTGAGGCTCCCCTACTACAAGGTGAAATCACTAAAGAGCTAAAATTACTAAGAGCTGAAATCACTGAATGTTATGTTAAGTAGTGGGGGGGCCTGAAGACATACTGTGGAGAAGTTTGTGGAGTGGAGCAGCTGGCAGAGCAGAGCAATTCGTGGGGTGGATGGTGGAGCGGAGCAGAACCCCCTGGAGAGGTTGGGCAATTGGCTTCAGAACACACAAGGTGCCCCTTAACCCCCGCATTTCCACCCAGGTAGGGAGGTAAAACTCTGCAGATAAACTTTCAAACTCTGGGACTGCACTGACCAGGGACAGAGACTTTTGGGTTATTGGACTTTTGGGACTTTGGGTGACTTTTGGGTTGCTGGACTCAAGAACCAAAGGGAAAGGACACGGCCCAATTTGCTTGGGGTGGGTTTTGCCTCATAGGTTGTGTTATGAATCCTGTTGGTGGTGGTTCCCCAACATAATACCACATTGTTTCTCT